CCCTTATTTTTTTTTTATTTTTTTTATTTTAAAATGCTGAAGGTATGAATATATTTTTTTTTTTTTGAGACAGAGTCTCGCTTGTTGCCCAGGCTAGAGTGAGTGCCGTGGCGTCAGCCTAGCTCACAGCAACCTCAAACTCCTGGGCTCAAGCAATCCTTCTGCCTCAGCCTCCCGAGTAGCTGGGACTACAGACATGCGCCACCATGCCCGGCTGATTTATATATATATATATTAGTTGGCCAATTAATTTCTTTCTATTTATAGTAGAGACGGGGTCTTGCTCTTGCTCAGGCTGGTTTCGAACTCCTGACCTCGAGCAATCTGCCCGCCTCAGCCTCCCAGAGTGCTAGGATTACAGGCGTGAGCCACCGCGCCCGGCTTTCCCTCCTTATCTTTTATTTAAAAAAACAAAAACATTTTTTTTTTAAAGATAGAGTCTTGCTATGTTGCCCAGGCTGGAGTGGCCCAATCATAGCTCACTGCAGCCTCCAACTCCTGGGCTCAAGAGATCCTCCTACCTCAGCCTTCTGAGTAGCTGGGACTACACGTGTGTGTCACCACACCTGGCACCTCCTTATCTTTGTAGGGTTTTGTCATCAAACGCTTACTGAGTGGTCCAGGGTTAGGATTAGGGCAAGTTAGATATTTGCCTCAGACACAGAATTTAAGGGAACTTAAAAAAAAACAATAAAAAACTCGGTAATCAAGATAAATATTATTTATACATATTTTATACATTTAATAAGTATATTTAATAAATAGCATTTCAATGCAATACTTTTTTTTGTTTTGGGTTTGTTTCATTTTTGTTTTTGAGGGTCTTGCTCTGTCTCCCAGGCTAGAGTATAGTGCTGTTATCATAGCTCACAGCAACCTCAAACTCCTGGCCTCAAGTGATCCTCCTGCCTCAGCCTCCCGAGTAGCTAGGTGGAACTAAAGGTGCATGCCACCATGCTGGGCTAATTTTTCTATTTTTTTTTTTGGTAGAAACGGAATCTTGCTCTTGCTCAGGCTGGTGTCAACCTCCTGGCCTCAAGAAATCCTCCTGCCTCAGCCTCCCAAAGTGTTAGGATTACAGGTGTGAGCCACTGTGCCTGGCCTTAATGGAATATTTTTTAAAAATCTAGGCCGGGCTTGGTGGCTCACGCCTATAATCCTAGCACTCTGGGAGGCCGAGGCGGGCGGATCACTCAAGGTCAGGAGTTCAAAACCAGCCTGAGCAAGAGTGAGACCCCGTCTCTACTATACATAGAAAGAAATTAATTGGCCAACTAATATATCACATGCCTGTAGTCCCAGCTACTCGGGAGGCTGAGGCAGTAGGATTGCTTGAGCCCAGGAGTTTGAGGTTGCAGTGAGCTAGGCTGATGCCATGGCACCCTAGCCTGGACAACAAAGTGGGACTCTGTTTCAAAAAAAAAAAAAATCTAAAGGAGTGCAAAAACATCCATGATGAACAAAATATCAACATTTTAAATAAAGACAGGATCTGTATTCTTGATTTACTTTTAGCATCAGGCCAGGCTCACCACAGTATCATTATTGATCCTGTCTCACAGGATTCTGGCTCAGACAAATCAGCGATGGAAAATTTTTTGGGGGGACAGAGTCTCCTTGCTTTGTTGCCCAGGTTAGAGTGAGTGCTGTGGCATCAGCCTAGCTCACAGCAACCTCAATCTCCTGGGCTCAAGGGATCCTCCTGCCTCAGCCTCCCCAGTAGCTGCAGAACGAGGTGCGAATTGGTGGGAAGGCAGACAGGACACCATGAGTTCACACACTTGGCCCGTGATTGGTGCGTATTCAGCACATGTGGTCTAAATCATTGGTCCTCAGCGTTTGCATCATCATTTAGGAATCTTCTCAAATTCTCTCATCCAAAGTTATTCTCTTCTTCTGCATCAGAAACCTCAGCTATGTTCCCACATGGGTGTGGAAGTTTATGGCTTGGGTGTTAAAATAAAAACATCTGAGGAAATTCGAAACAACTAAATTCCACTAGAATTTTGGGGGTGGGGGTGGGGCCATAAAGGGGGTAAAAACAAGAATGAATATAATTGGCTCCATTTCTTCTTTATTAGCTGATCCTCCAGGAAGAATAAGAGCTAAGAGAAACTGAAGAGAAGAAAGGTAGTAGGAAAGGAAAGGAAAAAAACAGAGAAGAAAGATTAGAGGAGCTAAAAATACGACGACGAAAGCTTGGCTAAGCATCAAAGAAGGGCAGATGTGTTTCCAAATAGAAGCGGTGGTTTAGATATGTCAGGAAGCACTGCTCCAAATGTTGGGTGGAAAAGGGAGATTATTTAGACTGAGTTCAGCAGAATGAGAAAGCTCCATGGGAGAAGCAAACTAAGGAACAGGTCTTTTAACACCACGGAAGCTCTCCTGCCTTAACCCTGAGTTCTCTGGATCAAGTCACCAGTGATGGAGACTCTTGTCTTGGTTTCAGGACCCTGGACCAAATAGTCTTTCCATCTTGGCTGTGTAATTCTCAAGACCTTTTGATGGAACAATCTCTGTTAAAGACTAGACACTTTCCTTATATCCTCAGGTGCTCACTTCCATTTCTGTCCCGTAGCATATTCTGAACAACTCTAAAGAACCAGGGGTGTAAAGGTGGCTCCTGTACATACACTTCTGTGAGGCCAGTGAATCTGACAAATATTTAATGAAGACGGATCATGTGAAAAGAGATGCTATGATGTCCAATTCTGATCAGAAACATCCTCCCCCTTCCAGAGACTCAGTGCTTGGGCTCATAAACCAGATGGGTGCACATGCAGGCCCTGAAACACAAAAAGATCCTATCAAGTGTTGAGTTATGTTACTCAGACCATGAGTAACAGGGGCTCGAGAAAGTTCAGACGAGGGAATGGGCCATGACATGAAGAATGTCAATGAGAATGTTATTCATCAAGGGCTTACTACGCACCAGAACCTGTGCCAAGTGCTGCAGACACACTGCCCCATTGATCCTCACAATAATCCCTGGGTAGGCACTGTTACTGTCCCCATTTCACAGATGAGAAAATTAAGGCCCAGAGATGTGAATTCACTTGCCTGTTGAGAGATGGATCTGGAATGCCAACTCCCGAGCCTAGAGAAAGTCTCATGACAAAGACAGGACTAGAGCCAGGCCTAGGATGGTGTGTGGATGGGCCAACCAGATAAGAGGCAAAGTGTCGCAGTGATAACTATGAGTGGTTGACAACAAGGGTGGTGTAGACTCTGGTTGAGTCCAGCCTTTGTTGGTTACTAGCTGTGGGATCTGGGGCACAGTTCTTGAACAATTTGTGTTTCAGTTTCTTTATCTGTAAGATAGAGAACAATGCTCAAACTGATGGGACTCTTGGTAGCATTTCATGACAGGATGCTTGTAAAATGCCTAGAACCTTGCCTGGCCTTCAAAAGCATCCAGTAAATACTACTTTTATTGACCTAGGAGAAACAGTATAGGCCAACATACCCTGGGTCTGTTTTAAGGAAGGAGAGGATTACCCATTGGGGCACAGTCAACTAAATGAGATGCACTGAAGGGAGAGAGGCAGAATTTGCTCGAATTTAAAGAGTATGTGTCAGGTGCCACATGAACAGCTCTGTGCTAGAAGGAGATTCACAGTGCTCCTTGGAGTCAGAGCTATGTCACTTAGTCACTGAGTAAAAGAACTGGGACAGTAAATAGAATGGATAAATGTCTGAGAAGAGGAGGTTTGGGAAAGCCAAACTCAAGATGGCAAAGGAGAGAAGAGAAACAGAAGAGCTACTCCTACAATGCCTTCTTCGCCCAGCATTTCTCTTCTGTCCCTGATCTGCAGAGTGAAGGCAGATGGTGATGTTTGGTAGCCCAGAAGCCTGGTGTCACCTCTCCAAGATTCACCAGCCTGCCCAGTCTCCAGACATTCGCAAAACCTTCCCAAAGACAAACCCTTTCCAAGGCCCTGCTCTAAAACTGACCCACCTCTTGGGAGGTGAGGCCAGGGCTCATGGCTGAATGGACACCATTGTCCTTCCAAGTGTCTGTGGGTCCAAATGCTGTGGCCTGGAGGTGGTTCCACCAGGCCTGCGGTGCCGTCTGCCTGCAGGCTTTGATTCACTCCAGGGACAACACTTCAAAATTCAAACAGGGAACACATTGGATTCCAGGAGCCTCTGCCAGACTCGTACTCTGTTTTTCCATCATTTCACTCTCCTCCCCCTCGGGAGGGAGCCTCCTTTGGCATTTTGCATATGAAAAATCTGAACCACCAGCAGGACCAGTACCTGATAAGGATTGGAGGGGCATTGCCCAAGAGTTTCCAGGAAGAGGCTTCTTTGTTCTTGTTTCAAGCCCTTGACACTGCTAACAGCTCTAATTACTGCATTTGCCATGGGATGTCAAATAAAACCGCATTCCAGAAAACATGTAGTCTCCCCCAGAGAGACACACACAGGGAGAGGTGCCCGGGCTGCAGGAACGTGTTCTTTTGTTTCTGGCCCCTAACCTTGGCAGTGCCGCTATCCTGAGAATTTAATAGCACCTTCTTTATGTGCACGAAGGAGAGCACTTTTGCACACCTGGGGATGCATCTCCCTGCCTGCACCTACAAAGCTGGTCTGCATGTTTGACTACAGTTTGTGCAAAGCGTGCTTCTTAAGAATATTAGGAACTTCGAAATACATCAAGCCATTTTGGGTGGAAATGAGGGCTTAACAAGTTTCTGAAACTGTAAGCGAAAACAAAATAGGACTTCTTCCAACATAATTTAACTATAAAATGTGATGATGTAACACCCAGCCACACTCACATCACAAACCAAAGTGACATCACAAATACTAGAGATAATGGCTCAAAATTGCCTGTAAGTGAGCCAAAACTCCAAACCCACTGCAATTTGCCAATGCATGACTGAGGCAGAGAAAGTCTGTGACTAGAAATACTCAACCAAAACCAAACCAAACAAAGAAATAAAAAACAACAAAAGAGAAAAAGGAAAAAGAAAATACATACCTTCCCCCTACTAAGCTAGCTAAAATAAAATTTAAGGCAACTGAAATATGGTAAGGTGATTTTATTTTTTTATGGATGACATTTTTTACAAAGTCAGGTCTTTTTAAATATGTGATTCTAATCTAGCCAAGTTGTTCTCTTGCTCTTGGCTGGTCCCAGGAAATGGAGGTCAGCATCATTTACATTGCGCTTCTGCCTTTATGGACCCCAGAGTACATTTATTTCCCTGTGTTGCAGCGATTCTTGACCATGACAGTCCGGCTAGAGAGTGTATTTAGGGTTTGGTAGAACTTACCTGCTGTCACTTCCGTGTTGCAGCATGGCTGAGGAATGTCTACAGCTCATAGAGAAGTCTTTAAGTGACCTTGTCTCCCATTCCTTATGCCTCTCATTTCCAGCAGACAGGAATTATCTTCTAGTCCTTGTAACTTTCTGCCTCAACAAGCTATGTTCTTTGAGAGCCTGAATATCACCATGACCTTGTGAAGTTACTATCTCTTCCCTGTTTGGAACAAAAGGCTTTGGTGAGCAGGAGAGAGCACACAAGAGGCATATAGCATGATTTCTAAGAACTTTGTGGAATGGTCTATAAAAAGATGCTAATACTTTGCTTTCAAAGTAGACCTTCTAGTCTCTACTTGAAAACTGGTCTTTGTTAATTACTCGCCCCCACCCCCTTATAATTCTAGCATCCAATCTACGTGAGACGAGACCCCGGTATCCCCGTGTATGGACTCCGACAGTCCATCTTGCTAAACACCAGGCTTCAGGTCTGCTATGTGGACGCACCAGCTCTCACCAACAGCTGAGTGGCCAGAACGTGCGGAGAGCAGAGCATCAGTGCCCCGGCGCCAGGTACCACCTCTTCCTGGGAGGTTGTAAAGAACCCATTCGTAGCCAGTCCCTTCTCCCTGGTTAAGCTTGTGCTCAGGCGGCAACTGAAGGGTAAGTGCTGCCCGGTACCATGCAAGTTTGGAGAAGCAAAACTCCCGAAGAGATTAAAGCCCAAGGACGATTCGGCAAGGAAAGCCACCCAGCGGGCCAGCATAAGAGGCTCCATCAGTTCCAAGAGCAAGCGGCCGGAGGGATAGCTGCCAGCCTCACCTGGGCACAGGTGGCCTGCAGGTGACATCAGAGAGGTAGATGATGACAGGTGGTGGAGAAAATGCGATGGGAGCGGAGGGAAGGGGAAAGCTAGAGAACACTTAAGGCTTAGGAGGTGTATGCCAAGTGAAGGAAATCCTGAAATTGAAGACAGGATGGGGGGTGGGTGCAGCATGGTGGAGGAGAGACAGCACAGACCTGGGGTCATGCTCTTGATTGCTTTATACTCTGCTCAGTTCTATAGGAGGAGGAGGTGACTTTCATACACACAGACAAGAGGACCTTGCTGTGAAGGCAAAATAATGGCGAGAAAGGCAGCGAGGATGCGGGCAGTGTGCGCTGGTGCACGTACCCAGGCCAGAGGTCCCCTGTAGCTGTGGCTGTGAACTTCCATGTGGAGAACTTGGCTTTCAGAAGCCTGAGCCCAGCTGTCACTCCATGGCAGCCAGCAGAGTTCAGTATGCCCTGGAGCTAGGCTGTCAGGGTTCGAAACCCAACTCTGACTATAATTGAGGACGACCATGGGCTTCATTTCTTTGTGCCTTGATATTATCATATAAAATGGAGGATAATGGCCCTTCCCTCATAGGGATTCATGAAGATTAAATGAGTTAATACATGCAAAGGGCTTTTGAGCGGAGCCTGGCACACAGTAAATAATTAGGATCCTGGGTGGCATTCAATAGATGATAGCTGCGGTTATGAACCTTCCAGCTGTGTGGCCTTGGGCAAACCCATTCCAATTTCCTTGCCTTTAAAGCCGTCTCCTGCTGACCTTACAGGGTTATGGGGAACGCACGCAGTGGTACACATAAAGGAATTCCATAAGCTAGAACATGCTAGACAAATGTTGGTTGTTGCTGTAACCAAGACTCTGGGACACAAATCCCAGATAATTATTCTGAGCTCCCTTCTCAAGTTTTAGCTTTGACTTCTCTGCTTTCTTCCTGGCTAGAGCAAAGAAAGTTCAAAGGAGAAAAAACTAACAGTCCGCCAAGATCTTGAGGACAGATATGCTGAACATGTGGCCGCCACCCAAGTGCTACCCTGGGACAGCGGGACAGCAGCCTGGAAGGGCCAAGTGTTGCTTCCTGAAGCCCGAAAGAGACAGCAGTTGGCGGAGGACACACTAACCATCCACGGCCTCCCCACGGAAGTGTACCGGGCTCTGTACCGCGCCGCGGTGGAGCCCATGCTGCGGAACCCCTGGGGAACCCCCAAGAGGTACAGCCTGGAGTTGGGCAAGACCATCAAGCAGAAGCTCTGGGAGGCTCTGTGCGGTCAGGCTGCCACCTGCGAACCTGTGCAGAGGGACCCGTTCCCAGGCAGGAGGCGTCTAGACGCCCAAGAGCAGCCTGTGCTTAAGAAACGGCCCAAGTTAAAAAGTGAACAATAGGAACAGGCACTCATGGGATTTGGATATTCTCTGCTAGAGGTCTGAAAAATAAACACCTCTTTTGCACTTTCCACGTAATCTCAAGAGTGCTTTACAATTAATGACTACCCTCTTGGGGAGCAAGACAAATGGGTGCTGGATTCACTTAAGACTGAGAGCCTCTGTCACTCATGATTAGAAAAATTTCAAGGGCTAGATGCTTGCAGGTTTTTTCCTACAAGGGCTTGAGGGTCTCAGTCTTCCAGGTAGGAAAAGGCCAGGCAGATGAAGCGGATGGTTATAGCCAGCCTATGGTTCCCTAATTTTTTAAATTTGAGACAGAGTCTTACTCTGTTGCCCAGGCTAGAGTGCCGTGGTGTCAGCCTAGCTCACAGCAACCTCAAACTCCTGGGCTCATGCAGTCCTCCTGCCTCAGCCTCCTGAGTAGCTGGGACTATAGGCCTATGCCACAATGCCTGGCTAATTTTTTCCATATACTTTTTAGTTGTCCAGATAATTTCTTTCCATTTTTAGTAGAGATGGGGGTCTCACTCTTGTTCAGGCTGGTCTTGAACTCCTGAGCTCAACACCTGCCTTGGTCTCTCAGAGTGCTAGGATTACAGGTGTGCACCCGGCCTGGTTCCTTATTTTTAAAAAGTAGACTGGTAAGTTCTTGATCACTAACCACTTTCCCTAGCTCCCTCCACATGGGGCTGAGCAGAGAGCTTACCACCACTTCAAAGACATAAATCCACAGTCCAGTGGGTACTCTCTGTGACACCACCTAAGCCTCTAATAACCTGGACTCTATGTTAACAGGAGAGGGTGATACACAAATGCTTCTATGGGCAAATTTAAGTTAAAAAGCACTGCCCCATGCAAACACCTCTCCTTTATAGATCTATAGTCCTGGCTGGGCGCGGTGGCTCACGACTGTAATCCTAGCACTCTGGGAGGCCAAGGCGGGCAGATCGCTCAAGGTCAGGAGTTAGAAACCAGCCTGAGCAAGAGCAAGACACCTTCTCTATTATAAATAGAAAGAAATTAATTGGTCAACTAATATATATAGAAAAAATTAGCCGGGCATGGTGGCACATGCCTGTAGTCTCAGCCACTTGGGAGGCTGAGGCAGGAGGATCACTTGAGCCCAGGAGTTTGAGGTTGCTGTGAGCTAGGCTGACGCCACGGCACTCACTCTAGCCTGGGCAACAGAGTGAGACTCTGTCTCAAAAAATAAATAAATAAATAAAAATCTATAGTCCTTTACCAAACAGAACAATGACAACACGTAACACATACTTGATAAAATTGTATTTTTTTTACAGTCATTTGTACAACTTGTTAACAAAACCATAGAAGACTACAACTCATTTTAAATCATTTTTGGTCTGCAAATATGTAAAATCTGTGTGCAATTATCATGTATTTACAGGGCCTTGTGTTAGTCATTTTCAATGATTATTCCAACAATGTCACACTCTCAACATAAGACATGGCTTAAGATAAATATATTAGTAAATAAATATTCTGAGAACATATTTCCATAAATGAAATGTGCTGCTATACATATACAGAATATACATAAGTTGTTTTCTAGCTTTTAAAACATTTTTTAAAAATGGTAATGTTGGAAAAAGAGCCCTTAGACCATTTTATTACAAAAATCTTTACAGCAAAGTCTTTACAAAATATCTTTAAGTGCTATGGGAGAAATTAAAAAAAAAAGTTTTAAAATAGTGCCTTGTTAGACCAACACAATAGAGTTTATATAAAGAGTAGAAAAAGGCAGTTCTGTTTAAAAAACAATACTCTTGATTAGTAATTCTTTCTTAGACCTCATTTTAAAAGCATTAGTTTTGCATGAACTTTGAGTAGAGACTAGCAGCACGTAAGGGGGGCGGTCTGAGCAGTGGGACAGTAGATGGGGCTTTATAAAGGGGCTTGGATTTGGAGGAAAAGGGACCAGGAGAGAGTTAAAGCCAGCTTACCGGGGCTGTGTCCATAAACAGGTACCTTGTTGGTCAGAACACCCAATCTTCCATTTTTAGCTGGTTCTAGAACTCTTAAGTTTCCATGGCTGTCCTACACCCAGGGCTGGGTCACTTGGCCATGCCCAAGCGTCACACCCTGACTTGGAGGGGTTTCTCAGTGGAAAACGAGATGCTACCAGTTTCTGTGGCTATATAACCATTATACACCACTGAGAGTCCACCCAAAAAGGTACTTATCATTATTGGAGTTTTACAACTTCAAAGAGAACATTCCTTTTGATTTAAATGTGATGAAATAAGATATTTGGTTATTTTATCGTGTGATCTCCCTGATAAGCTAACATAAATTTAAAAGACAATGGTTGATATTTAAGGTTTTAAAAAAGTTCATTTTTTATTTAAAGTTAAAATGTTTCTCTTGCCATCTGCAGTTATCACTCTTTTGAGTGAAAATTGGACAAATTTATTTTAATAAGCCCAGTGGAAGCCACATTCTTTACTCATTTGTTTATTGCTTAAGGCTACTGAGGAGTGGTTTTCTAGCCAGGGCTAAAGAAAGCCACTTTAGGAGTACGGTTTCAGACAAGGAAGATAATATCCACCCAAAGGCATTAAAAACAAAAAAAGCAAAACCACAAACAAACAAAAAATCTCAACAATGAGAAGCTGCTTTTTGCAGTTCATGTTAAAAGCCATACCCCTCCTTTCCGAAAACCACGTCATGCAAGCCGTTGTCCTCAGCAGCTGCTACTCCTGGCCCGAGAAATAAAGGCGGCCCGGATCACATGTCAACAGCTTAGGCGATTCTCACACCCTCGCCAACAGGTGTGCTGGGCACAGCCCTGGGGACCACCCCCTAAGGAACTGCACCCGAGAGGCTGGAAGACAATCTCAGTGCAGTGAGTCCCTAAGTGGCAAATGGCTTGATCATTTGATGCTGGAATTTCTTTGTCCAATCCTGGCTAGAAATAAGTAAATTTCCTCATCATATACTGGGGTTCTTAAGAAAAAAGGATTCTGATATAGTGAGATTCTCATTCAAAATGTTTTTGTCTGGACCCTGGGCCAACTTCCTGTGAGCTTGACCAGAGAGGGGCCATCACAGTTGCCTGGCAACCCAGAGTGGTCCTTATTTCCCTACCTACAGGGGCCACATGCCAAGATTCCTATTCCACAAACGAGCTTTTAGACTCAATGGGCCAAACTTTTGCAGATGGCAACAAATATCTGAATGAAGAAATAAAAGTGACCAGAAGAGTTAGTGAACACAAGGGCTAATATAGTTTCCTCTAAAAAAAATTTTTTTAAGAACGAGGAATACATTGGACAAAAAGAATGACAATCCCTGATCTGAAATAGCTTTAAATAGATTCTCTCTCCCTTTTAAAAATGAAACATCTTAAAAACAAAACAGTTTGGGTTTTTTAACTCTCCCCCCCTCCCCCTTAAAAAAACACACACACCAAAAGCCTGGAAAAATATACAAAAACCTACCCTTTGGGTCTAAACTATCTGATAGTCTCCCTCTCTCTGTGTCTCATGGAAAATCAATACATAATAGTGCATTAGGTAGACAGGAGAGCAGACATTTGCAGGTGAGATGAGCAATTTCAGCCATGAGGCAGAGGGCTGAAGAATCCTGAAGCAGGGCTTCCATGGGAAACCGGATGGGAAAGGTATCACTCAAATGGAGCTCAGTGCCCACCGCAGGGGTCTGGGGGGTGCCCCCAGGAAGGCAGCCCAAGGAAGCAGCAGCCAAGGGGCGTGGCGGCTCCCACACATGCGCAGAGGCTCGCCCCAGCTGGGTGGATGGAGAGCACCTCCCCAAGCCCCATCAGACACCAAGGCCACAAAACTATATTCCTCCTGGGTGTTCGACCCCACACACCCGTCTAGCCATTTCTGCAGCCAGTGGAAGGAAGCCTAAAATATTTTTGCAAAGGACTCCTACGTCAGGACCACTGAGGGGGGGGGAGAGCCTCCTCTTCCCTGCCCCAGGGGTCAGAGTTCAAATAGAGGATCCCCAAGAACACTGCCCTTACTATGAAATGGATCTCCGCTAAGATCAGGGGCTGTGAACTCTGTCACTTTCCCTGGGAGGGACAGTGACTCAAGGGGACAGGTTGAGGATACTAGGTAGAATTGTCCCTGTCACCCTAGAGCTTTGGGGCAATGGCTTGCCCTGATGCCCCAGTGCTGCAGACCTCGTGCACCCTATTCCTAGCTGTTTCCATCACCTGCCTAAAGGTGCAGGCTGGAGAGGAATGGCTTCCAAGAAGACCCAACACTTTGTACATTGCGATTTGCCACAAGAAAGAAAGAGGCAGCTTTGCATTGTTCCTCAGAGTTTGTACCCATATCAACTAGCTTTACTTCAAGTTTCTGGTTCATTTTCTAAGGCAGGTGTAGCCCTGAGCTTTTCAAAGGCCTGAGCTCCCTCCAGGGAGACAACAGTATCTACACATGATGTGGTTCATTTAATGCAGCAGTGATTTTTTTTTTTCTTTTTCAGCAAAAGTTGGCAGTTAGGGTTCTTTAAAATATATATTTAAATAACTTTTTACATTTACATATAATATCTTTAAAAAAAAAACAAGCAGAGAACTCAATTCCACACACCTCGGAACCCCAAGCACACACACTTTACAAAACAGAATAACATGTTATCAAGGAGGCAGAGGACTCAGAGAATTTTGTCTGTTGGTTAGTTAATGGGGCAGGGGGTGGGGTGGTTTTGCCACAGGTGGCTCACATTTTGGGTTGAGAAGGAGGGCTCTCTTTATTACCACTTTTGTGTTTGTCAAAGCTAAAAAAAAAATTGTTTCTTTTTGAAGGAAGCCAGAGTTTAGAGTCTCCATACAGTTTCCAATTTCCAGATAAGAGTTCCTTCTGAGCTCAGGCTCCCGTGCTGCTGCTGTCTGCCGGGCGAGATCCTGGGAGAGAGAGAACAGTCATTGGGGGGGGGAAGCCAGCACTGCAGGGACCAGGCAAGGGACTCCGGTGGGGCCCCGTCCCTGGCATGTGTCAGGCTTGTAGGAAGTGACAGCTTGCAATGGCGCAGCAGGGCTGAGACAGGGCTCCTCTTCCAAGAGGGGCTCAGTCGGTGCCCCCTGAGAGCCAGCCTCCCTCCCCTGGACGTGCCGAGCCTTCTAGAAGCTCTTAGGTAGCATGAAGCGTGAAAACATAATGTACACAAGATGTTCACTGGGCGGCCAGTGTGGTCAGGCACTGGGACGAGCACCAGAGAGGGCCCCTCACAGAGCTTGCAGGCCCCAAAATAAAGTCATTTAGGATTGAGATGACTCAGGAAGTAAATGGAGTGCATGAAAGTGACTTCGGCTGGGATCTGGAGGAGAGAAGTAGGGCCGAGGTCTAGGGGCTGGAATGAGCTCGGAACATGGGGGGGGGGGCAGGTCAAAGGCCAAAGGGGGCTAAAGCAGCCAGCAAGGAGAGAAATGGGATTCGGTCAGACGGGTTGGCCAGGGCCAGATCACACAGAACTGGGCAAAGTGTTAACATTTGTGAAATCCTAAAGGTAATCCACAAAGACATCAACCTATGTTTCAAAAAAGGCCATCCTGGCTCCCAAGTGGAGCAGAAGGAAAGACCAGCAACAGCAGACCGGTCAGAAGGCCACTGCCTTTGCCCTGGAGAGTGGAGATGGGGCTGGACTGAGGGGATAGCGGGCGGGTGCAGAGAACAGTAGATACATTTGGGACCTACTTTGTTTGTTTTTTGAGACAGAGTCTCACTCTGTTGCCTGGGCTAGAGTGCCATGGCATCAGCCTAGCTCACAGCAACCTCAAACTTTTGAGCTCAAGCAATCCTTCTGCCTCAGCCTCTCGAGTAGCTGGGACTACAGGCATGTGCCACCATGCCCGGCTAATTTTTTCTACATGTTTTTAGTTGGCCAATTAATTTCTTTCTATTTTTAGTAGAGATGGGGTCTTGCTCTTACTCAAGCTGGTTTCGAACTCCTGACCTTGAGCGATCCACCAGCCTTGGCCTCCCAGAGTGCTGGGATTACAGGTGTGAGCCACCGTGCCCAGCCTGGGACATATTTTGGAGTTGGAACCAGTGCTACTCACTTTTGGAGGTGTCCCAGTACTATTCAGAGGTACTAGACTGCATGGTTTATTACTGAGACAAAAATGTTTAGAAATTTTACAGCAATCTGATGTCTGTTGAATCTAATAAGAACTCTGACTTGTATTTGGCATGTCTTTTGCTAAGTTCCATTTTCCTGGGAATTCATTTTTATGGACTGAGGAAAAAACAAGCAATTGTGGTCCTGCAGACAGGTTGAGAAACCCGGGACGCTGGGTTGCGAGGGGCAGGGTGAGCACAGGGGTGGCGCTGGGTGGTGAGCCTTGGCGAAGGGGAATGAGATCACTGCTGCAGACACGACATGGGGCAAGGCCTAGGAGGCATCTGGGGGAGGGGCTGCAAGGTCACGGGAGCAGAGGGCTCACTGGGTCTGGAACTCAGAGGAAGGGACAGGTTGGTGAATTCAGTCATCAGCCAGAGACAGTGTTTAAAGCCAAGGGCACATTCAGAAACGACTGAGGGCAGAGAACAGGCCCCCACGGAAACTTGCTCTGGCCTACTGCCACTTCCTCTCACCTGCAGCCTCGGCGGCCATGGCGATAGACTCCTGAGTGTCCTGGGGGGCACTGGGGAAGCTGGCCCTGGTGGCACCCACCTCCGCTGGAGAGCACACAGGCCGGGGCGGCACCCCCGCCTGGCAGCACAGAACCTGCTCCTCTTCCTGGGCTGCTCCCAGGCCCCTGTGGGGCCGCGGGGCATCTGGGCCCGACGTCCCACCCCAGGGGCAGAGGCTGTGGGTCCCTTGGCAGTCCGAGGGCAGGCCCAGGTCACAGTCCACATCCTCCGGAATGATGGGGATGCGCTGGCTCAGGTCCTGGGCCGCGGGGTAGCAGCTGGGCGGGGGCTCCTCGGCGAGTGTGTACTGCACACTCACGGAGTAGTCCTCGGTGTAGCAGCCGGCCCCTCCGCCGCCGCGGGCCACCTGCTTCTCTTCATAGAAGCAGCAGGGCAGGCCCTCGTATTTCACCCCGTCTGTCCTGGACAAATGGTCTGGGTGGAAGCCACGCAGGCCCCGGGAGCTTCCCAGCTGCGGCTCCCCACCCGAGGGGCCGCGGCCCTCGCAGAGCGGGGACCCCAGGAGCAGGGCGCTGCTGCCAGCTGCCCCTGCCCCGGGCCCCGGTCTGGAGGGCTGGGGCTCGCAGCAGCAGGCACAGGATGGCGCCTCGTAACCCCCCTTCCAGGTCCTCCTGAGGTCTGGGGCGGCCCCAGGAGAAGCCTCGAGCCCCACTTCCGAGGTAGAGCTGTTGGGCCCCCGGGGCTCCAGGGAGGAGCTGCTGCTGTAGTTCATGTCCAGGCTGCAGGTGGACAGCTGGTCCCCCGAGGGAGACGCGGGGCCCGGCCACGGCTCTCCACACCCAGCGCCAGGAGCGGGCGCCGCCGGGAGCTCCTCAGGCGGCGGGGAGCCCTCGAAGCGCACGGCGGGCCCCCGGCCCAGGCTGCCCGAGCCCCCCGCCTCGCTGGCGTGGCAGGGGCTCCGGCTGCGGTAGATGAAGGGGTCGTAGTCGCTGCTGAGGGAGCTGCGGAAGGTGGAGCAGCTGCCATACACGCCCTGGTTGCTGACCTCGGTGCAGTCGACCACGGAGTCGCTGGAGGAGCAGTGGCACTGGCCGGAGCTGCTGCTGCTGCTGCTGTCGCTGCCGGGGCAGTCGGCCAGGTAGCCGCTGCACACGGAGCGGTGGCCGTGGTAGCAGCTGAAGCTGGACGTGCTGCCGCTGTCCAGGTGGGAGGGCGGGGCCACGTGCACCACCGTGGGGAAGAGCAGGCTGCCGCCGCCGCCTGGGGGGAAGGCGCGGGCCGGGCCCCTGGCAGCGAGGCTGGGCAGGGGCTGCCCCTCTTGCTCGGGGTAGCTGAGGCCCTGGAAGTAGTAGTGTTGGTACATGGTCTCATACTGGGAGAAGCAAGCTGCCTTGGAGAAGCTGCGGCCGCTAAACTTGGGCCTGCGGAAGGGGTGGGCTGGCGAGTAGGCCCGGTGCTCCAGGCCGCAGCGGTGGGTGGCCAGCGTGTGGTCCAGGTGCAGGGGCGGGTAGCCGCGGATGTAGGCGGGGGTCTGCGGAGAATAGAGGCTCTGTTCCCCGTGCCGGTCCACGGTCAGCAGCGTGACGGGGTTCCCGTGGGAGTCCATGCTCGTCCTTGTAGGGTAGGCCGGGATGGCATTGGTCCTGTGCACGCGGCCGGGGTAATGCACCGGCAAGGTCACTCTCTGCTGCCGGCCACGCGAGAGGTTGCTTGTCTCCACACACACAGCACTCGGGTTTCCCTTTTGTTCTGGGGAGAGGCAGAGGAAACAAAGTAAGCTGGTATCAGGGACTAGAGAGACTTTCTTTTAAAAAGGGCAAAGACTGAAGCAGCAGCATGTCTGATGTCTACTCATATGACTCTGCCCCAGTCCAAGCTGCCACCAAACTCTGCTACTTGGGCAGAAGCTGTGTGTGGAAGCCACCTCCCACCTCCCAGCCGCTCTGCCCGACAGGGGCACCACGGGAGCCTGCGGACAGGAACAGAGATGCAGGACACAAGTCCTCCCCCACCCCTTCTCCAAAAACACAGTGACCAGGCACGACAGTGCGAGCCTGCCACTGCACACTCGTCATCTCTTATGGCCCTGGGGACAACCCCATGGCACTGGATGTGGGCAAGTGATATTACTGTCATTGCCACTAAAGAGTTTGGGAGCCCAGGCCTGGCGAGGCTAGATGTCTTGCCCAAGGTCAGAAGCTGGTTAACACGAAGCCCAAACTTGATCTCGGTGATTCTCAATGCCAGGCTCTCCCCAGGGCGGTGGAGCCAACCTCCAAAACCCAAGGCCGCCATGCTGCAAGTTCCAAGCGCAGTGCTGCTCGCTCCCAAGCCTATGGCGTGTGCCACACTCCAGGTAGGCACTTGGTGGGGACAGTGTCCTCCGACTTGACTCTTGAGCAATGACCGAGGCAGGTGACGGTTACCTATGATGTTGTGGCGACAGTGGGGGCAGGTGTGGTGCTGCAGCAGCCACGGGTCCACGCACTTCCTATGAAACCGGTGGGTACAGGGGATGACCCGGAGCTCCTGGGCAGGGAGAGAGGGGACACAGTCTGAAGGGCAGGCACGGGTGAGGCAGCACTTCTGCCTCCTGTCCCCACACATGCTTCCTCCTGTGGGCCCCGTGTGGGCCGAGGAGCCCTGCTGATCGTGCCAGTGCCCTTCCCCGCTCTCTTCCCCACCTCCGGCCACAGGTTGCCTCCGTGCCCTGGAGGTGGGGCTAATGTACGTGTTCTAGAGAGAAGAAAACTGCCCATCAGCCAGCTCCAGCCACAGGGAAGACCAAAGCTTCCTGCTGGTGAGGGTAGGCTCGGGTGTGGAGGGGTGCCCAGGGACACCCCAAGATGTTATGTATCTCCAAGGGGGTGGCTGGCACCAGGTAACACAGAAGGGGAGTAGAAAGGAAGATGCCTGGGACTCATAATTGACAAGTGGGACAGCAAAATTCTCCTGTTTCTTCTTTCACTGGACCCTGAGCACCCACCACATGGGCACATGGTTCATAACAAAAGCAGCCTATTTGGAGAGAGTGTGATGGGATTTTCCGGGACAGAACCACCTCTGGAGTTTCTGAGCCTGAGCACATTCCAAATTTGCCAATTTTACTTTGTTTTTTCATTTTCTGACCTGTCCAACACAATAACGTTCAAACTAATCCCTAATACTGTGCCTGACAAGAGTGCCAAAAGGTCTACCTGTATTTTCTCATGTCATCTCCGTTATCACCTGGAATGCTGGTCAGTCTCAGGCCCATGCCAAGTACAGAGACAGAAAATGAAGGCACTTGCCCAAGATCACAAAGCTAGAATCCACCTTGGCCATGTATGAACCCAGGCAACCCAGAGTCCATGCAAGAATCTATTAAATATTATTCTAAAGGCCGCTGCAAAAACTCAGTTTTCATCCAACAGTCTACACAGCAGATCATTTTCAAAGGGGCATCAAATGTCTGCAGTTCTTAAGTGGCATGTTCCCTGCCCTCCCAGTGTATGTACGTTTGTATCTATCTAGAGAGCAATGGCGCAAACGTGGCAAAATGTTAACAATGGGTGATTCAGGGTGACTGAGATATATCATACATAGTACTGTTCTTGCAACTTTTCTGAAGGTTTGAAGATTTCAAAATAAAGAGCTACAAGAAAAAAATGGGACAGCAAATCCTTTGTCTCTTTATAAGTAAAAATCACCAATTATGTGTCAAGTCAAGATGCAGAGATTTCAAAAGAACAATTCTAAAGCAAAGTCAGTGTGTCAATGTTCTTAATCAGGTATTTTCTGGCCTACTGTATGTTTCTGATCAACTTTTGAAATGCCCTGTGTCTGCTGGGTCCTCTGGAGGGTCTGTCCCCACATTGTGGCCACGCTTTTGGAGGAAGTGGTTAGAACATCTCAGGCCATGCCACCTGGAGACCTGGGTGAAGGCCTTCACTCTGGGAAAGGACACAGGGCCCTGTCCTGGGTCCTGGGCACCTCTGCTGGCCTGTTTGCCTCATCCCCACCCGGGACAGGCCCCGCCCCTGCCATTACCTCTCCATCGATGTACTTCTCCAGGCAGATGGCACAGTCGGACGTGGAGCTGCTGCTGAGTGTGTCCAGGGCCCCACAGCTCCCCTCCCGGCGCCCCTTGCTCTTGGAGTTGAACTTTCTGGTTTCCATCTTCTCCAGAGCCTGCACAGCCAGCCTGTTCATGGAATTCTGCACAGCATGACACGGTCTATGTTAGGGTCTTCTACGTGTGACAGTGGTGGTCACCCCAGGGCTGTGTACTCAATGCACTGGGACAGGCAAATACTTCTTATCACACCACAACAGAATTTTGAGAGTCACTCAAAACTCAGACTGCCATAGCACCTATATTCCAGACCCCTGGAGTGTCCACGCCATCAACCCAGGCTTTTCCCAAGTGGCAGCACTAGCAGAGGTCTACCCTTTAATTTTTTTTTTTTTTTTTTTTTGAGACAGAGTCTCGCTTGTTGCCCAGGCTAGAGTGAGTGCCGTGGCGTCAGCCTAGCTCACAGCAACCTCAAACTCCTGGGCTCAAGCGATCCTGCTGCCTCAGCCTCCCGAGTAGCTGGGACTACAGGCATGTGCCACCATGCCCGGCTAGTTTTTTTTTTTATATATATATTAGTTGGCCAATTAATTTCTTTCTATTTATAGTAGAGACGGGGTCTCGCTCTTGCTCAGGCTGGTTTCGAACTCCTGACCTTGAGCAATCCACCCGCCTCAGCCTCCCAGAGTGCTAGGATTACAGGCGTGAGCCACCGCGCCCGGCTTACCCTTTAATTTTAAGGTTGGGGTCTCCTTCCATTACTTGGCCCTGCCACTTCCAAACTCTGCTAGACCCCAAGTTTATTAACCTGCTGTACTCTCTCTGTTGAAGGAAGGAGTGAGAGTAAACGTTACCCTGTTCTTGGTGGCCACTTGACCTTCAGAACTGAAGCAACTCTCTCGACAGGCTGCCTGCCAAGAGCCACCACCTCTCTCCCGAGACATGACCCTGCCACACACTGGAGAGTCTAGAACCCTGTTTACCCTCTCACACCCTCCACCTCTGAATCCTTTCGTTCCATCACACGCGGTGTGGCCGCTGGGGTGCTGCCGTGGCCGCTGTTTTTCAAGAATCACCTGGAGGGCTCAGTAGACTGGGAGTCTGGGATTCTGCACCCCTATCAAGCTCCAGGTGATGCTACTGCTGGACCACAGCTCCCATCTGAGGGGCAAGGCTCTAGCGTGCCACATTAACCTTTATTTAAACATTTCCTTCGAAAAACTGGCTGGAGACACCCCAGCGCTTGGCCTTTGTAGGGCCGGCCCTTTTAGAAGAGAGAAGACAGAGTGTTGTGAGCTTTGCTCTTATTCTTCTCCATCTTTGCTGTTTCCCGGCCACTGTGAACAGGCCGCGGAGTCGAGTCCACGGCTGGGAGAGGCTCCACTTGGACCATCGGACAGTGAGCCGACGAGAGCCTGGGCAACGGGGGCCAAGTTCCCAGGCTGCACGGACGGATTACCTGACTGCGTCGCTGCTTCAGCTTGATTTTGACGAGGAGGATGAGGCAGACCAAGGAGACCACGACGAAGAAGGCCAGGAAAATCCCCATGTCAAAGTATTCAGTGGGTTGCTGGAACAGAACACAGACACAGTGAATCACGGCCTCTCTTCAGCCCAGCCTCCGGCACACGGGCTGCTGGGTAAGGACGGGGGGACTGGGGTGAGCCTCCCCTCAGTTTGCAGGAAACTCCCGGGTTCTGTATATAGGCGCACGGTATGCTCCTGAGGACCAGGTAGTGCCCTCAGTGTGGCCGGGGGAAGGCCTGTGGGGGTCTCAGCCAGGCCCCCCAGTAGCCTCGGGAACTCTGTTCACAAAGCCTGGCTCCTTACGGAACAGCATGAAGTCTGCTGCAACCAGTAAGAAAGGCCCTTCCACATAAACACAAATAATCACATTTACAGGACAAAAGAGTGAGTGTCATGTTTTGAGGGAACAGTGATTACTAACCATATAATTAATGGTTTACAACAACTCAGAAAATTGTATGCTGCTTCCACAAATATCAGCTTCCACTACTATGAGTCATATTTACCAAAGCACTCTTTTTTCCTTTAAAAAGAAGCCAGCAAATCAGTTCTTCTGAAGATTCCCTCAAAGTTTTCGATCCTCATAGCACACTGCTTCCTAAAACCTTAAAGCCACCCCATCTAGGACACACATTTAGCCAACAGAGCTTTGCTAAATGGATGCTGTGTACATTCGGTTACTTTGTGCACGTGATAGAATCATCCTATCTACATGTGAATGTCCCAGTGTGTGTGAGGATGGAATAAAACACATATGGGGCACCTGCCCCAGGTTCTTTGAATCCTTTAGCCTGAGGAGAAGATGCCTACCAAGAGTTAGTGGCCAGAAATGTCCCTTCCAACACTTAGTAGAAGCCTAGATGGTATTTATTAGCCATGGAATCCCATCCCGGTTGACAAGCTAACTTTTCCAGACCCAAATGTAAGTTAGGGAGTTTCAATAAGGTAAGTTACCCTACGGGAAGAAAGAAGTACAGGCCTTTTCTCTAGTGTCTAGGTCAAGTGGAATAAAGGAGACACAGGAAGCCAGGTTCTGGGTGTCCCACCCCTTCAGGCCTCCTCAGTTTGCTTTTCAGAGGGAGACGGGATGGAAGAGAAAGGATGAGAGGTCACCAAGAGGGAATTCCAGGTGGAAGAGAGACCAGAGACATCGCAGCCATCATCACCTATTTCTGGTAGGATCTGTCAAATTCCCTATAAAACACGAGTGAAATTTCTCCCTGGCCTCCAGCCCTATAGCTGATCTAAAGCTGCAGGCCCCCAGGGCAGACCGTCATTTTAGATAGGAAAAAGACAGGAACGAAAGCCCAAAGCCCGAGGAAAAGAAGGGCACGGGGAGCAGCGGAGAAGGCACCGAGCGCAGGGCAGGCAGCGCGGACGCTCACTCGCAGGGGGCGGTGCTGGATCCGAGCCCGAGCCACTTTCTGCTTGTTCACGATGTTCATCAGCTTAATAGCGTCTGCGCCCTTCACGTACACCACCGGCCTCTTGAGCGGGTCTTCCGAGGCCTGGTTTAGCTAAGGAAGAAGAGAGGGCCCAGGTTAAAAGACATACTTAAACAAGCAGGGGAGAGAAAGAAAAGGCTGGAGGGAAAGAACATTCGATACCCATCTGGAAATCCTCAAATTCTTCAAGCACTGCAGCCTTGGAGCTCCCAGAGGGCAAGGCTGAGAATGTTGCTTGCTTTAGGATGGACTGGGCAGGCTGAAGGCCCGTCAAGTTCTTTGAAAACGGACCCCCCACCCAATCCCCTAATTCCCTGGTTCCTAACCCTTCTCAATACACCTTCCTTGGGCATGATGTCCAAACCTGAACATCTAACTTCAGCAGATGAGCGCAAAGGCCCGAGATGAGGGTGACACAGCTGTAACGAGCCAAGCTAACTAAAGAGCCCGCAGCACTGGCAGGGCCCGAGGACTTTACCTGGTCGATAGCTTCTGGGTTTTCAGACACATCAAAGATGACTGCAGTAGCTCCTCGCTGCACTGCTCGCTTAGCCTGGCAGAGTAAAAAAGAGCAGGTTGGCTCTCTGGCCTGCTTACCTTTCTAAAGCTGGCCTTGGCAATCAGGCCTGTAATCGAATGCACAATCTGACAGTTACCAACTTACGTGACTTCCGACACGAAGTCAGTTAAGTTTTTTCCCATGTCAGTAAAAGAGGACAATGCCTACCTTGCATGGTCATCCCAAGAACCAAACCAGATGACTTAGAATAGGTGAAAATAAGTAACTGGGTACTCAATAAACCTTTTCCTCCCTATCCAGCTCAAACATTAAAAGCGAACTACAAATCAACAACCTGCCCAGTCAGCACGGAGGTATTGGTTTCAGGATTTTCTGCTATGAACACAGAGCCATTGGCAACCAAAGCAAAAGCCCTTGGTCCATCTCCTGTGGCCCCTTCTTCCTTCTCATGTCACTCAGTTAGAACAGTATATTGAATATTTCTGAATGAATCTCAAAATGGTCACTTTTAATAAGTGACACAAGCTAAAGACCTTTGGAGACACTGTCGGCGGGGGGAGCCATGAGAAATAATTGTAAATGGGGTTTGCAGCAGTTGGCTGCCAGCCTTGGCCACACATCAAAAACACCACTTGGGAAGTTTGTAAAGCAGATTTCCTGGCTGGAACCACAGAGACTGATTCAGCAGGGCTGGAGTCAGGCCCAGGAAACTGAGTTCTGTAAGCTTTCTGAAGGGTGCAGATGATTCAACCACTTGGGGAACTACTGATCAGAGAAATGAGATTAGAATGTTTTAGGAACAAATGAGAAGAGACAGGATTATTTAGGGGGTTGTGGTGACAGAGGATTTCTTTCCATCCTAATGAACCTTCTAATTTCATATCCAGCTAAGTAGACAAGAGGGGAGAAGCTATGGAAGAACAAGACTTAAGATATACCCCTGGCTTTTAGGAGCCTGAATCTTGCAAGAGAAGACAGTGTGTGTGTGTGTGTGTGTGTGTGCGCCAAAAATAAAAACCACACTTATACAAGATGAGCAAATGAAGGCTAGTGCTCAGAGATCAACAGAGTCACTATTGGTCAGAGTGCTTGACAAAGAATAATATACGAATTCCTTCCATAGGAATAACCACTCCACATCGACGTGGCGTAAAAAAGCAACATTGCCCAGAACGTGGCTAGACCAATGGCTCCACTGGCCCACTAGAGGGCAGTCTCACCCCGCAGCTTTGACAACAAGCGCGTTCCCTGTTACTTTGAACCAAACGCGCAGCACCCAAAACAGCTTCAGTGAAATATTCAGGGTTACTTCAAGTTCTTCAGCAGTGTATGAAGCGCTCTGGCACCCAGGGTGCTGTGCTGCAGAATCTGTTCTAGTCCTGTAGAGCAGTGGTCCCCAATCTTTTTGTCACCAGGGACCGGTTTCGTGGAAGACAATGTCTCCATGGCTGGGGGAGGCTGGATGGTTTGAGGACGATTCAAGCACGTTTGTTGTGCAAACGTCTCTGCTCACCATAATCTGTTTCTGCAGCTGCTCCCCAGCGCTAGCATCGCTGCCTCAACTCCACCCCAGATCATCGGACATTAGATTCTCATAAGGAGCCGCAACCTAGATCCCCGCATGCGCAGTTGACAGTAGGGTTTGTGCTTCTAGGAGAACCTAATGCCCCCACATCTGAAGGAGGCGGAGCTTATGCGGTGATGGGGGAGGGGGAGTGGCTGTAAATACAGGTGAAGCTTTGCTTGCCTGTCTGCTGTGTGGCCCCATTCTTAACAGGCCACGGACCAGTACCTGTCTGTGGCCCGGGGGTTGGGGACCACAGCTGCACAGGACTTCCTTTGTGAATGGAGATTCAATGTATTTAGTCTCTGCCAACTGTCCACTCCATCCTGTTTCATCACCAGGGTGCTGTAGTAGGCAGGAGTCAGGAGCAGATCCTGGGAGCTGTTCTTGTTTTGCCATTGGGGAAACTGAGGATCATTCACAAATCTTTCAGCCCCAGCCTCAGTTTCCCTATCTGTTAAAAAAAAATGGGCACCTATATCATTATGTCCCTTCTAGCTCCTGGTCTGGCCATCCAACTGAGAGGCAGGGGATTAGAGCAATTCAGAAAGAACCACAATGGCCTTGTCACCCACCTTCAGCAAGAGGGGACACGGATGGCACAGCTGAGAAAGTGTGAGGCCGAGGTGGCATCACTTTTCTCCTCCATAAAGCTCTTTAGGGCCATAGAGCCCTCTGCCTGAGGCCGGCAGCTTGCGGACTTCAGAGTTAATAGTAAGTAGGTGCTTGGGTTTTCTGTTTAGGTGGTATTCCAGTCTTTTCCACAAATTCTTTCCTCCGAAGCAGAAGGGGACAGCATTGAAGATGAGGACACAAACAGGCCCTCTCACTCCTCGATCTGGCTTTCACCCCACAATCAAGCACATGAAAAGGCAGCCGCGGGGAGTGGGCGAGTCAGATGTGTCCCGAACATGAGCACCCATACTGCCGGTACCTCTGGCTTTGATGCTGACACACCTGGAGACTCTAATGGCTGCGGAAAGAAAGGCTGCAAGATTTGGGGTGGGAAATGCCTTCCCAGGCTATGTGCACCTCAGGGAAGCCATTTAGCCACGTGCCTCCTCCCGCTGAGTTCAGGCTTCCCCGCTGCATGAGAACGTGAAGTCTCAAGGATCCGGAGATTCTTGATGGGGCATGGCCCATTCCGGACAGGCACAAAAGATGTTTTTAACAAAATCTAGGCGGGCTGACCAGTCTCCTGGCTTCTGCAGTGAAGAGGGCAGGTCAAGAAGACGGTGCTGAAATCCTGCTGACAGCTTGACTTCAGACACGGCTCAGCCAGACTAATGCATAGGATCCAAGGACAAATATCTTGTTCAAGAAAATGCTTCATTCTCGCAGTTGATCTACTTTTAAAATCACAGTTAATGTAAGCTCCTATTCAAATAAGTTTGCATTTCCTACACATACCAGGACCAGACAGGAAGGGGGTCAACCTAGCACCCTATTGGGAATTTGCCTGTCAGGAACTGGCTCAGGATTTAAAATAGGCTGTGAATAATCTATATTTAGAAAATGATACCTTTATTATACTATTACAGTATTCCCAAAACAAATTAAAAAATACAGAACACTATTTGGTCACACTTTGCCCCTTGCCCTACATTTTCAGTTTAAAAATTGATGAAGCCGTCAGGCATGGTGGCTCACACCTATAATCCTGGCACTTTTGGAGGCTGAGGTGGGAGGATTGCTTGAAGTCAGGAGTTTGAGACCAGCCTGATCAAGTAGAGTAAGACCCTGTCTCTACCAAAAAAATAGAAAAAAATTAGCCGGGCATGGTGGCGAGCACCAGTAGTCCCAACTACTTGGGAGGCTGAGGCAGGAGGATTGCTTGAGCCCAGGAGTTTGAGGCTCCTGTGAGCTAGGCTGACACCACGGCACTCTAGCCCAGGCAACAGAGCAAGACTCCATCTCAAAAAAAAAAAAAAAAAAAAGATAGGATTTCTGATGGTCACAAGATTGATAATCTCTCAATTAGGGTCTAGATTTGTTTTTTTTTTTTTTTTTTTTTTTTTTGAGACAGAGTCTCACTTTGTTGTCCAGGCTAGAGTGAGTGCCGTGGCGTCAGCCTAGCTCACAGCAACCTCAAACTCCTGGGCTCGAGTGATCCTTCTGCCTCAGCCTCCCGAGTAGCTGGGACTACAGGCATGCGCCACCATGCCCGGCTAATTTTTTATATATATATCAGTTGGCCAATTAATTTGTTTCTATTTATAGTAGAGACGGGGTCTCGCTCTTGCTCAGGCTGGTTTTGAACTCCTGACCTTGAGCAATCCGCCCGCCTCGGCCTCCCAAGAGCTAGGATTACAGGCGTGAGCCACAGCGCCCGGCCTCTAGATTTGTTTTGAAATACTATTTAGGTCCAAGCTTGACTAGGTAAAACGGTAAATGATTTAAGATATGAAGATTGGTTCAGGAATACGCTTTGTCAATTTTTCTTTCTTTCTTTTTTGAAACAGTGTCTCACTGTTGCTCAGGCTAACGTATAGTGGCATCATCAAAGCTCACTGCACCCTCAAACTCCTGGGCTTAAGCGATCCTCCTGCCTTAGCCTCTCAAGTCACTGGGATGACTTAACGAAGAAACTCTATCTTTATTAAGTCGCATACTTATCTTTCAAAACTCTTAAGACGAGGCCATTTCAAAGAATGGATGGGGAAGATGAAGCCTGGTAGATATTGCTGGGTAAAGGTCACTAGTAAAGGGGGCTGCCATTGGGGAGGGCAGTTACTCCTAAACTGTGCACAGACCGGAGTGGAAGTGCAAGAGGAGGGTGCAGAACACAGGTGGGAAGTCTTGGCAAGGTCTCCTAGAAACAGCCAAAGGCCTTGCCTTGCTGACCTTGGCATGCCCTTCTCCTCATCCCTACCCATGGGGGCATCTTCACATCCTTTATCCCCTCTGCCACTTCAACTCCTCACTCAGGCCAGGGCAGGTCAGCAGGAGCTAGCAGGTGGCCAGAAGTCCAGTGGCAGAATGCTGGATAAAAGGTTGTCATGGTCCTTTATCTACCTTTCCAGGGCTGCAGGACCCACGGCCAGACAATGTCCATAGCCACCGAGACAAGCAGCAAAATGGAAAACACCTGCATACTTATGAGTACCCTTTGCAAAGAACAAAATGTCAGCCCCTAGAAGACAGGGCCCTACTGTGGTTGGCACTTATCACTTCTATGGTTATTCAATAAACAGTTTTGTAAGTGAAAGAAAGTCTCCCTGGGACCATACTCTTGGCTTATTGCTGGTGAAAACAAAAGTGCTCCCTGCCCGTGGATGTGGTTTTCCCAAACAGAAGTAAGGAAGTGCTTTTATCAGTAAGGATGAGTCTTTCACAATGAAAATAAGGCATTCTGATGAGAAAGGCTCCATCATTACCTTGTGGGTGGGAAAACTTAAAGTCCAGAGTCCACCACTTCCCAGGAATTCCACTCAGGAGTGGATGTGGCACTCTCCCCAGAGTGTGCGAC